ATGTGGATGCTTATTTAAAAGACAGTTGTATTGAAATATCAGTGATCAGCAACTCCTCTGCATGGATAAAAATGAATGATTACAGTAAAATCACAAATTAGTAAAATTAGCAGCACTGTGTTAAGCTTCTACTCTGTGGGAGACGGAACAGTCTCTGCTACACAGTCAACAACACTGATTTAGGAAGGTATTTTGTATACTGCATGAACTCTTACCTACTCCTGTAGTCCCTGGTTGTAAACTTTAATGATTCTCCTATAACATCTTTTCAATTCCCATGTAATGCTTCTTAGAAATTCAAAAGAATGTGGAAGTGCAGGAAAATTTACAACATGGGACAAGTCAATGAAAGTCATTTAGGAAATTGAGTATCTACTAATTGCTAGGCACTGCTGCTAGGCCTTGGGCGAAAAGAGTTAAATAGGACATATTCCCTCCCTTGACCCAGCTCACAGAGTGATTAATTAACTCTGTGGGTGTGGGAAGGAGCAGGGATGTCAGGGAAGCCTTCCAAGAGAAGGTTTTTAAAGATCAACCTGGAGTCCATCAGGCAGAAAAGAGCGGAGGACATTCCAGAAAGAGAGAACAGAGGACACAAAGGCTCAGAGGAGTAAAGCAATATGGTGCATGTGGGGAACTCCAAACAGTGAGATATTGCTGAGCCGAGAGTCCTTATGGGGAACCGAAGGAGATTAAATGGCACTTGGACATAGATTGTATTTGCAACGTGCTGGGTGGCCTAACCTAAGTAACGAGGCTTATACAGTTTTTAGGATAAAATATGTCTTTTCTCTTTAGGCCCTTTTCCATTTTAAGTGGTGATTGTTGACATGCAATAAAAATTTACCTTGTTAATGCTGGGAGAGCAATCAGGATCCAGTTTATTTTATGAAAAGAACTGATTGTTCCTTTCCTGATGGCCATTAACCATGTTTCTCTTTAGCTGGGACAACTCTTTGTTACCTTACAGAACTGCCCATCTTGTAGTTTCCTTGTGTGGGTTAAATGAGAGATTGGAGATAGCTTTGTACAGTACTGAAACAAAGTATGCCCTCAACAAACAGTTACTGACTGACTGGCCAAGTCTATCAGACATTGGATACATTTAAAGCACATGATAAGAAATGTACAGTCTTCTGAGTTTATTATGAATTCTGCTAAATCTGTCACATTTGATAAATTATTTGTTTATAAATGACTGCTATCTCTTAACATTTGTATGAATTCACCATGTTTTTCATTTAGCTCTGTAAAAAGAATATTATAATGCTAACTGCTGGTTAACTATTCGGTGAAGAATGTTTTCTTTGAGCAGAGTGAGTGGGGTGGTACTTAATAAATGTTTGTTGAGTCAAAGAGCAAATTATTAATAGCTTCTAATCAAGGCCTTTGATTCTTTAGCAATTAAATCTCTTTATTCTCAATTTTTACTTTATGGAGTAGTGCTGTCCAATATGATTTAAGTCACATATGTAATTTTATGTTTTTCAGTATTCACTTTTGAAAAAATAAAAAGAAACAGTTGAAATTAATTTTAATAATATATCTTATGTAACTCATATCAAAATATTAGCATTTCAAAATGTAATCAATATAAAATTTATTAAAGTGATATGTTACACCCTTTTTTTCTCTACTAAGTCTTTAAAAATCAGTGTGCATTTTATATTTACAACACATCTCAATTCAGATAATAAATTTTCTAAATTTATCTAAATCTGTATTTAGATTTCAGCATCTTTATAGTTGAAAAGATAGATTCATGTACCCGTTTTTCCCAACATAATTTAAAATTTTCCAATAACTGAATGAAATGTCAGTTTGAAAATTATTTAGAATGATATCAAATGAAAAATTCAGTTCCTCAGTCACACTGGAGAGCTGTCAAGAGCTCAATAGCCACCTGTAGCTAATACCTACTATATATGACAGTGTAGTTCTAGAGAATTCTGCTCCATAGAGCTGCTGGGAGGCATGCTCATTTAGCACATTTCAGTGTGGGCTTAGCACCTTACAGATCTTTATTTTTCTTTTGTTTTCGCATTACTTCAATTTTTTTCTGAAACCTTTATTACCCTAACACCTTAGAGGTTAGAAACCTCTAAATTAAACATGCCCCATTTAGTTAATAATCCTAAAAATCATTACTCAAAGACAAAATATTCCTTGTCATTTCTTCATAGTTACTGGCACAAGAAGCTACATAATAGTGACACAAAAAGTTTTGCTTACGTGCATTCTCACTATTAAGGACTATGGCTAAACAGTTTTCATTCAATCATAGTACTGCCTCATGCCATTTTAAGGGGAGGAGAGCTCACACAGGGGTACGCACTCAATAATTCCTTTTAAAAGACATAATGACTCTTTTCTAACCCAAGCAAAGTGAAATTTATATACCAAGCCTAAAACTGTGGGTATGAATAGGGTTGTTTGAATGCCATTGTTTGGACAGAGTTGTTTCTGGTCTATTTCGTTAACCAAAATTATGGATTTGAGTTACCCATCCAATAAAAACTCTCTTTGAATGTAGCTCCACTGTTATAAAACTATCTTTATGGGCTGATTTAAAAAATAAGTATCCCTCACTATTATTATGTAATATTCAATAAGTTTCAGTATGTGAGCACAGTGTAGCAAATATAGCTAAGGGATTTACCCAAGACTTTTAATGTATACTTCAAAATCTCGGAAGCCACTCTGCCAGAATCCTGGGCACTCCTTTGAGCTCTGTCTCTAACTAGCCATCATATCTTTGAGGTTTAATGACCTTACACGGTGGAGCGGGGGAAGGGGCGGGGGGACCTGTTGATCTTGTGACCACTGCAAGATTGAACAGTACCATGTATTCCAGTTATCTTTTTTCTGTACACTATTAACCTGGTGCATCTGTGATCTTGAATAAGTCAGTTGAGTGGAATTTTGTAAAATGGGAAGAAATATGCTTGTCTGGGTCACCACAAGGATAAAGACATAGGATAATAGGTGAGTGGGCATTGAAAAGCAACACCCAAGCGACCAGTTGAAGGAATGATTCATATTCCAATGGGATTGAACACCCTTTCACCGATGCTTGCTTCCTCTCATGTTAACAGGGGTAGTATTGTAACACAAGGTACTTTTGAGTGGCTGCACTGTTGATTGGCAACAATGGCTGTAGTTGATCAGAAAAGTACAAGCTTCTACCCTGGCAACTTCAGTACAGCTTGGTGATTCAGGATCTCTGCAGAGGGACTATAAAACCTTGGCATCCTGGGTTGCACACCACATTTTAGTGTGCAGCCTTGCAGTTCCAAAGCCTGAATTCTGTTTGAGGAATGGTGATGAACACCTAAGGGATCTTATGATATTTTTACTTGCTTTGTGAAATTGGGAAGTGTCTACAAATAAAATGCTAAAGAAATAAATACATAGATGACGTTGAAGAAGTGAATATATATGCTGGGTGAGAATTTTTTCTGAGAATCTTTGTATCTGCTATTTTTAGGTCTTTTGGAACATGTTTTAAGGGTCAAGTGTTAAGTTTTCAGAAACAACATTTATGAGTTAGGATAAAAAAAACCCATCTGGTGCAGGGATTCCTCCTTCAAATGGATGAACTTCAGGAGAGAGGAGGAATTTCCTATCATCTTAAGATCCCCATTGGAGGCTTAAGGAAGTAGCTCAAAAATTGAATTTATCCCCTTCTATCTATTGCTCCTTTTATCGTCCTGACTACTCATGAAAGAAAATGAAAAAGACATATTGGAAAGACGAGGAATAGGGAGATGGTAAGGTTTTTGTTCTGGAGGTTGAGTGTGCAAAATGTAAGCTCTCATATTAGATAGGAAGAAGCAGCATTGCTTTTTAGGGGGCCAATGGGCCCTGCGTAACGCATTACAGAGGGATGTCTGCGCGATGTAAGAAGTGGCAGGTGGGTGGAAGGGTGAGGAAGCCACCTGGAGGAGGTAGGCCAGGGACAAAATCAGAGACAGCTCCCCTCCCTCCCTAAACAAGCTCGCCTAAGTGACACTTCCTTGCGTCCCAGGAAGTGACGACCAGCCAGGGGAGACGTCGTGACTCCCGGGGCTCAGCCACTCTGGGGGTGCTGCGGCGGGCGCCTGGCGACCTCTTCCGCCGACCCGGTTCCCAAGGAGGCCGCCCGGTGCCGGGCACCTAGGCGAGCCGCCTGGCCGGAGTGCCTCGCACAGGGTTCTGGAGCAGCGCCTCCGAGGCTGCTGGCGCTTTTAGGGGCTTTTGTGCCCTCTGCCCAACTATCAGAGTGACCCTGAACCCAACGGCTCCCAGGAGAGAGCTCAGGGGAGGACAGAAATTGAGAAAGCTGGGAAACGCGGGAGGAGGGGATGAATTTAAGAATGGGAAAAGTCCTGAGACAGGAGATAGGCGGTGTCGGATCCAGGGTAGGATCGTACCCGTTCTTCCCGCATGAAACGGACAAAAAGAGGACCACTCAATTGCATCAGCGCCATGTCACCTCCCCCCGGCAAAACCCAAACATGAATCAAACCAAAAACCACCAGAAGCTCTGAGACGACCGTACTCCGCGGGTGGGGCGAGAAACAAAAATAAACACGGGGACGGGCGGGCGAGGGAGCGCAGGAGGAGCAGGAGGCGGCCCCGCATCCCTAATGAGGGAATGAATGGAGAGGCCCCCTCGGCTGGCGCCCGCCCACCCGGCGGCAGCCGCCAAGTGCCTCTGGGCGCAGCGTGCCGCGCCCGCCGCTCTTCGCGCAGCCGGCTTTGGCCGCTCCTCCCGGCTCAGGCGCGGCGGCTGCGGCGGCGGCGGGGACCGCGCGGACCGAGCCGGGACGGGCGCGCCGGAGGCGCGGGGCGCCGGGAGCGGGGGCGCCGCCGCGCTGGGTCCCGGGCGCGTGGCTGCGGCTCGGCCGGGCGGAGCTGC